CTCCCTCTCTCCCTCTCTCTCTCATAATAATAACATAAGTTCTAATTTTCACAGTTAAAAGAAAAATTTTTACCATACCTTACGTGAAGCCCATATCTGAAAATTTTTTACATTATCTACAAAATTATAAATTAGCTTTCACTATTTCAAATACCTTAAATAAATTTATAAAAAGAGGAAAACATCATTTAGATAGATTATCCAATTAAAACGTTGTATATAAAATTTCATGCGAGGATTGTGATGCCAGCTATATGTATAATGTAGATCAAACAAAAAGGAAGTTAAATACTAGATTACATAAATATCTCCGATATTAATAAAAAAATTAACAGGTTTGCCTTTAATTATTATGCCACCAACAACTTTAAATGGGATGACATAAAAATTTTAGACAACGAACCTTAATTCATACTACAAGAGATTAATATCGGAGGTAATTCATATAAAAAAAAACAGAAGCAAGGATTCAATAAACAGACTGACACAGAATCCTTACCAGAATCTTACATTCCAATAATACAATTCCTTTCTCTTTCTTAAATGTCTCTTTCTCTTCACATGCTCCCCTTCCAAATTACTCTCAATCTCTCTTTATTCTCATTTTGCATAGTACTGCTGTAACAACTGTATGCGTTACTTTTAATTTTTCCGCATTTGTTCCATATTTTAATACATATTATAAAGGTATTTATACATACATATTATTTTATTTTAATTAAGATTAATTTATGATATAATTTTGCTTATGTATATATAAAATATTTTAATAAATATTAATTAATACCAATAAAAGTTAAACGCTTGTTATATTTAAAAAATTAATTAAAATCAAAAAATTAATTTTGTGAATTTTAGGAAGACCATACATCTTAGATAAAGAAGAATCACTAAATTTTAATTTAAAGGCACACTGTTTAGCACACTGTTGATCTGGAGGAAAAAGCATTAAACATTATACAATTAAATTATTCGTTTTACTTTCGGTATGTTGATGACATTATTATGATGATTACGAAAGATTTTATTCATACAGTTTTAGAGGCCTTTAACAACATTCACAATAGATTACAATTTACAATTGAAATAGAAAAAAACAGAACTTTGAATTATTTAGATCTAACAATTAATATAGATAATGGTTTAAAATTAGATTGGTACCATAAGGATTCGTTTTCTGGAAGATACTTATCTTTTTTAGCAAATCATCCTTTATCTAAAAAAAAATAGGTGTTATATATGGCTTAGTTGATAGGGCATTGTTACTTTCAAATTCTGAATTTCACATTAAAAACATTGAATTTTGTATTACAACGTTATTAAACATACAACAATTATCCTTTAGATTTCATATTTATTACAATATAGAAGGGAATTGATTCGTTATTGAAATTTAAATTACATTCTGCACACATGGAAAATCAAAATACTAATATTGATCATCCGAACAAAAAACTATTTGTACTATCTTATATTCAAAGTTACAAATTCTATTATATCTAGTTTAAATAAAGATTTATGAATATAATGAAAGATAATAATAATTGACTCGTGTGATTTCATCAGTAAGGTAATGTAGTGGGATCCTACCTTAGACGCCTGGGAAAATGTTAGAAAGAAGTTCTATATAAACAATTAAGCGGGGAGCACAGACTTTTGCATAACGCATAAACCATATACATAAAGAATTTGATTGGTCCATTGACTCATGCATAAGAAAATGGGCCAATGAAATTCCTTATGCACATGCTTTATGCGTTATGCAAAAGTGTGTGTTTCTCGCCTTAAGCGGGGAGCACAGACTTTTGCATAACGCATAAACCATATACATAAAGAATTTGATTGGTCCATTGACTCATGCATAAGAAAATGGGCCAATGAAATTCCTTATGCACATGCTTTATGCGTTATGCAAAAGTCTGTGCTCCCCGCTTTACTCATGTAATTCGGCACTTGCGAGAAATGGTATGAGTAACTATAGACCTCTGTTGGCTAGTCGACGAAGTGATATTCTTCACATTGTTCTTAATATTTTAAATAAGTAATTAAAGCGCATTTTTCAGGCCGCGCGATATAAATATAATGAAAGATAATAATAATTGACTCGTGTGATTTAAAAATCGAGGAAAGTGTAAAGCCAAATCGAGTCTAGAAAACAAGATGTTAATGTTTATTATATTGTGTGAAATTTATATACTGCGTATGTAGTCCTCCCCGCGACGCTGATAGATTTTCAGCATTGACGCATACATATTCACTACCGCAGTAATATCACTTTAGTTAAATTCCAGTAGTGGAGCCGGGACGAAACGCCAACTTGTGATATTCTTCGCTATCTTAGTTTTCACGGATTTTAAATTAATACTTTAATATTAAATTTTAATATATGTCTTTCAACATATTATTAAGATCTAATAAGATGCTATAGGCATCAAAAATTGGTTAAATTGATTCTCAATTTAACTAAAGTGATATTACTGCGGTAGTGAATATGTATGCGTCAATGCTGAAAATCTATCAGCGTCGCGGGGGGGACTACATACGCAGTATATAAATTTCACACAATATAATAAACATTAACATCTTGTTTTAAAGATTTATGAATTTTTAGTCATAATTTCTTTTTAAATTTGAACGAGTGAAAAATTCAAGTGTAAGATTTTATTTTCAGATAATAAAAATGGATCTTGAAGAGACTTCACTGCAGGAAAGCTTACTGAGTGTCTATGAGCCTACTTTAAACAGTGCGCAAGTTTTTTATAAGCTACTATTGGATGCTTTACGGTGCAAGAATTTTCGTTCTTTCAAAAATACTATAGAACATGATTTAATGAAGCAATCACCTATTCTGAACGTCAACTATGTATATCCAAACACGGAAGAAACATGCCTCGACATAGCTAGCAAGAATGGTCTAACAGAGTTTGTAGAGTATTTACTGCATCTAGGTGCGAAGCCTAATAGAGTAAATAAACTACATAATCGCGCTCCTATTCATTTCGCTACAGAAGGGGGACACGTACTCACGTTGACGGCTTTACTATTGGAACCAACAATAAATCCAAATCTCGAAGCGGGACAGCAGACTGCCTTACATATCGCAGTGAGAAAGAATGATCTGACGTGCGCCGGTCTGTTGCTAGAGAACAGTGCTAGCGCCAGTATTCCAAATAGCAAGGGTTTAACGGCTCTCCATTTAGCAGCTATGAAAGGCCAACGGAATTTGGTGGAACTGATATTGGAGAAAAGCCGACAGTCTCCGGACGTTGACACTTATAAAGATTACAATGATCAAACAACGCGAGAGGTGATTCAGAAAAAGTTTCCGGATATATTATTGCTCGAAAATGAAAATCGTGAGATAAATGTGCACGATCTTAAATACTACCTGATCACCAACGACGAGACAAACTTCCTGAAAAATATGGAGCTTGTGAAGATAGAGGTTCTTCACAGTGTAGCCGAAGAGCTATTGGAAATGAGTGCACAGAGAGGCTTTTGCAAAATTACGATTGGAATCCTGGAAAAACTTAAAGGAAAGCAATTTAGCGTAGAAACAGCCGCGCGAGAGGCCATTCGGCAGAATGATCATGCAATTCTTCAAGTATTGTTGGAGATAGAGCCAAATGTAGCAAATGGTCTACTTCTGAGTGCTTGTCAGGAATTAGGAATGCCGAGAAAACGAGGAATCGATAATACGCCCGATCGACTGAATTGTCTGCAATTGATCTTGGAACAAGAAAACGTGAACGTTCGTTGCAGTGATAGTAAGTACGCAGATAGCCAAACCCACCAAAAGCATGCATTGCAAATTTATGCTACATATTATAATGGCAAAAATCGAGCAGCAGTCGAACACGGTTTACCGTTTATAGCCATAACAGAAATACAGCAAAATAAATAGAGCAGACCTGCGTCATAATACACTAGCAAAAATTCTGTAAAAATTCATCAAACTTTGCCGAAATAAAGCAAGCAGAAATCGAGCAATCATGCTGACAAAATAAAGTAACAAAAAATAGATCAAAACTTGATATAAAACATGACTACATGTTAAATCAGTAAAATATTGTTAAAAATCTGGCACACCTATTGTCATATTATGACAGCAAAAACGCAGCAAAAATCGAGCACAGCCTGCCGTCACGTTGTGACCACAAAAACGCGTCAGATATAGAACGTGATCTGCCTTATCAGCCATTGATGGCGAAGACGCAGCAAAAATCGTGCATAATCTGTCTATTTATATAAATTGTCTATTTAATAAAATATTTTTATTAAAAGTATATATAGACCATTCGAAACATCTCTGTCAATAAGGTAACAGTGGAGCAGTACGTTAGGTGAACGACTCAGAACTGGACCGTGGACCGAGTCACGAGTTTCAAATCCTATCAGGTTTAAAAGTTTTTTCCTAGGTATTATTAGTCAGTTCAGCACTTAAGGAGAGGACACAAATGATGGAGAAAGAAATCTAATTAATAAGAATTTAATTAAATTAAGAAGTGCCGTAACTTTTTTTTCAGCAATCTATGCGCGATTTTTGCTGCGTTTTTGCCATCAATAGCTAATTAGGTAGATCGCATTCTATATCTGCCGCGTTTTTGCAGTCACGACGTGACGGCAGACTGTGCTCGATTTTTGCTGCATTTTTGCTGTCAGTACTGGTTATGCTGTATCAGGTTGTGCTGTATTTTTACCGCGTTTCGCTGTCACGATGTGTTAGCAAATAATAATTGATTTTTGTTGTATTTTTATCGTTGTATTATGTTGGCAGGCTAAGCTGTTAGAAACTAATTGTAAGCTTAATGTGGAAGCAGCAGCTTGATATCTGCTGTAACGTCATGATCAAGTTTGCTGGCATACTGCTAGCATTTTGCTATCTGGGTATATGACTATCATAGATCTTATATATTTGGAAATACGCCTTTCCCTAAAGATAGATGTTAATTGTATCTTTTATCCTTCATTCTACCAAGCGTACGATGCGAGATGACGTATGATTTATGAATAAAAATACATTCTAGAATGAAAGGGATTCGTTTTAACGATCGCATATGTGTACATTTTAAAATCTGAATCTATTTCAATCCATTATTCTTGATTACAAGGAATGAAAAATTTTGCTGAAATTGTTTCACGTTTTGAAACACTTTTCAATGAAATTTCAGTATAATTTTAACAAAACTTAGTTTAATCTAGATATTGTTTTTTAAATGTTTTTTATCAATTGATATTATTTATATGTTATCATTATATTAATTATTTACAAAAAAACAAAGAAAAGATAAGAGACTCTTTATATAAAAATAAAAATAAACAAAGTGAACAGGGACAATTTAAGAGTCGAGTTATAAACAATATAAAGTCAATTATAAAATATAAAATAATAAAAATATAGGATCAAATAAAACAAACATAAATTAAAGGCTATAAAGAGTCAAACGCAGTTAACAATGCGAAAAAATTTTAATAATTTTACAAATTAACATTAAGATGTCCCGTCGAACGTTTCGGTCTGCAATTTAGACCATCTTCAGCGACGAAATAATAATAAACCAATACTCCATTTACTCCGAGTTAGAATGCAAGTAGTAGAATCAATTCTTGTTGAACGACAAAATGTTCCTGTGCACCAACTAGAGGTAAATACATCGTAGATAATGGATGTGGAGTTGTGTAATAAAATTACAAATATTCGATGGTTTAAATTGCAGACCGAAACGTTCAACGGGACATCTTAATGTTAATTTGTAAGATTATTAAAATTTTTTCGCATTGTTAACTGCGTTTGATTCTTTATAGCCTTTAATTTATGTTTGTTTTATTTGTTTTTAACAAAAAAGAGTCCATAACTAGTTTATATAATTTTATTAAGAATTTTTGAAAAATATAGGATATTTAACCAAATTTAAAAAGATCTTAAAATTATATCAGGATATATAATATGTCGTTGTTATTAAATATTTTAAACTTTTCAGTATGAATTATGGAACCGCAAGCCATGATGCAGATTGATCAGTGTCAATGGTACTGTCAGTAGTAGGCTCTTCATGTGCTTTAACGATTTCTTTTTAAGTTTTGTTCTATTACTTTTACAGAGATATTGCATTACGTTATAGATTCATGGAACTAATCTTCATATGTATACTCGTTTTCATCGCTCACGGACGTTATTTATTGATTTTTGAAGAAGGCTCGATCCAAGAGCCGAAACTTGTTAAGTATTTCGCCAGAATTTAAGAACCTCTGTTTAAATATATATCTAATATAATTTTAAGATCTTTTTAAATGTTGTTAAATATTCTATATTTTTATTTTATGTTTTATAATTGACTTTATATTGTTTATATAACTCGACTCTTAAATTGCCCCTGTTTACTTTGTTTATTTTTATTTGATTATTTACATGCTTCTCATCAGACATTACGCTAGCTCTTGCAAGGCGTGTATTCAGGTATATAAGATGTATTTATATGATGTATTTATACTATCAAAAAATAGCATTTTCTACATAAATAAATTAGTATCTGAATTATGCTTCGCTCTTCTAAATGTCTTTCTGTAAGTTTTATAATTACCAATGTTATCTTATTACAACTTAAGTATCTGTTTTAATAGATAAAGGCAACACTCCGCTACATTACGCGGCCAGAGCTGGCTGTCAAGAAGCGATAATTTTACTTCTCAACCGAGGTAGCTACATCGGTCACATGAACAAATACAATACACCGCCTATCGCAGATATCTCAGCACACACGCTGTCGCGCTACTTCGATGACTGTTTGCAGACGCGGATAGATCGGGCGAACGAGTACACGATAGAATTTAACTATTGCTGTTTAATGCCGCAGAACATTTTCACGGATCAATATAAAACTCACCGAGCGACTCGCGAAATGGAAGTGTTTAAATACATCGCCAGCAATAACGGCCTCAAACATCTGTTGAAACATCCACTGCTTTCCTCTTTCCTTTATCTCAAGTGGCACAGAATACGGCACGCTTTATATGCAAATTTCACTTTTTATGTAATCTTTTATTTTCTGTTAAACGCTTACATCCTAAGCATGACTTACGGTGCTAGGACGGAAAATGAGATGCAAATTGAAACCAACAATAGATCCGATATGCCTTCGGGAAATACTTTGCGAATTGTTGGAAACCAACGAAACAACTTCCTATGGGCCTCTACTACTGTGATGTTGCTATTGTTCATCCTCCGAGAGATTTTTCAATTTATCTCCTGTATCAGACGTTATCTAATGAGCTTAAGAAATTGGTTAGAAATCGTACTGATTACGCTCACTATCGCTTTGCTGTGTGGCGCGGGACTTCAAATCGGTGCTGTGGTAATCCTGCTGTCGGCCTGGGAGTTGGTGATCCTCATCAGCCAGCATCCACGCTTGTCCACCGGCATCGAAATGTTCCGAACTGTTTCATTAAATTTTATGCGCTTTCTGTTTCCCTATCTGTTTCTTATTCTCGCATTTGCTTTGGCCTTCTATACACTCTTCAAAAACGGCAACGATACGAACTTTCCTGATCCCGGTCTTTCACTTTTCAAAACTGTCATCATGCTCACTGGTGAATTCGATGCCAATGACATCCCGTTTATTTCGCATCCCGTTTGGAGTCACATCGTGTTCATGTTATTTGTTTTCTTTATCGCTATCGTGTTGTTTAATCTACTTAACGGTTTGGCAGTCAGTGACACTGCTGAAATTCTGTGTAAGGCCGAGTTGGTCGGACTTATCTCTCGAATACGTTTAGTTACCTACATTGAAGATATAGCGATTGGCGAACCTTTCAGGCATTGCGTTTACTGTAATTTGCGACTACCTTGGAACCCTTTCAGTTTTCTCGCTAAGAGAATTCTTTTGTTTCCTCATTTTCTAAGAGATGGTAAAATCAGTATCAATCCACATGATAATCTGGATGTTTACGATAATGATAGATATTATAAAAAATACATTCACACTGCATCTATAAAGAGCAACAAGCAGTGGAATACTTTGAGAATGGATCCTGACATAATTAAACAAGCTAAACGTACTATCAATAATAAGAATCGATTGACGGATAATGAGAGGATCATGATTACATTGAACAAACTACAACAGAAATTGAACACAATAGAGACAGCTTTGAAAACTACAAAATCTGAATAAAATAACAATATCGATAATTTGCGGTATTACATTTGTAAAAGAAAGTTAATAAATAATATTTTAAAACATATATTCTTTATATTCTAATATCCAAAACTTTTTGAACTTAAATAATCTTTTTTAATTGAATTTAATTAGATTAAAACAGATTCACAAAAAATCAAAAATTTGGATTCAGTAATTAATAATCAAATAAGTCTATTTTAATCTATTTCCAGATACTGAGTCCATATTTTATATTTATGTTATAACTCAGCAATCGCAAATATGTAACTGTTATTATTGCTTTAATAAAACAAAATGTAATACCTGGTTTATGCTTCAGGTCTTAATCCCAAGATCCTAAAATTCAACCAATAAAGCTGCCAGTTCTAACCGAAATTTGAACTCTATTGGCTGAATTTTAGGATTAAGTCCTTAAGACCGAAGCATAAACCAGGCATAACGTTACATATAACATAGAATAAACTAATCAATGCAGTTAGCGCTTAATGATTCTTTGATATGATTGATTTCTATACTTAGGTCCAGCAAAGAACGAAAGGCAAGAACCAATCATATTAAAACATCACTAAGCGCTAACTGATTAGTTTTTTGTACTGAATGCAATCATTTTTGTATTATACATACCATTTAGGTTTAGTTTATATCACGCTTTTGCATTTCCTTTTACTTGCATTTTCTACAAGCGCTCACGCTTTTGCTTACCTCGATAGAAGCATTTATAAGCAGTATTTATGATTACAGTTTTGAAAAATCAAGAAGAGATTGCACATGAAGTCAGAAACTTTGTAACTGTTTATATATTTAAAGTAAAATGCAAATACATTTTATTGAAATGATCTTCATCTTTCATATATACATGTGTGTGTGTGTGTGTGTGTGTGTGTGTGTGTGTGTGTGTGTGTGTGTGTGTGTGTGTGTGTGTGTGCGTGTGTGTGTGTGTTTCTGCATTTGATTGTAAGCAAAGATAAAAAATGTGTCATTAACCAGATATATCCTGCTGTGCGTCGGTCTTCTCTCTTCCTCGACGTATCAATATATCATTGTAGAACATATTGAAGTCCAGCCTAAGTCAAATATATATATGTATATATTTAAAATTATATTTATAATAATAATTTCATTTCATAAAATTGATAAGAAAAATCTAAAAGTTTTTTAAACACACGGAAAAATTTTATTTTTCGGATTTTTGCTGAAATACTTAAAAATTTAGCTAGATACAGATTTGAAATTGAATCGTCATAATAATTATGTAGCTCAAATATGATTAATTTTTTATTCAACAACTTTTGACATACCAGTTTGAACATCTTGCATAATTATTTCCGTTCAATAAAATTATTTTCAAATCTATCTTCTTCATATGCCTTATCCGGTCCCCTGAACATTGGCGATCACTTTGGCCAAGATTTCCTCGCCATAGTGATATCCTGGGAATTAAATAAACCGAAGGTTTCCCGTTGCCTTCTTCAGTATACTTTCAAATCTATATTTATTTAAATTGTTAGGTACTTCAGCAAAGCCACTGTTGTTTTCATGTGTAAAAATAATTTCTGTTCAAAAATTATACGAATAGACATCTTACCGACATAACACATTAAGTAATTTCTCATTGTTATTATCAGTACCCAAATCACAAATTCGGTTTAGGAGTTGTGCCAATACTTTAGTAAATTTCTCATCTAACGATACGATCATTTCTTCAAAACTTTCTGTTCCGTCTTTTGCTGTAGTGCTGTTCTCAATCTAAGAAAAAATATGAAAAAAATAACATTAATTAATAAATATATTACATGGATGTATATGCATATTACACAAATAAAATGTTAAGCAATTTTTTAAAAATAATGGAAATGTGATTCATTATATTGAAATTTTTACTTAGATAACTTTCACTAAAATATTTATTTTGCAACTACGCGCCGAAATTATGCACTCTCAATCTATGAAAAGTATAATCCAATCAGAGTGAAGAAAACTTTCAACAATTGTAAAATAACATTTTACTGAACGCGGCTGATAAATAATAAGCAGTAACAAACTATTATCAAGTAATCATGCAATTAATTTTATGACCTTTTACAATTAATTATAAAAGTATAATTATTTTCTTTTCTCAAAATTAAATATATAAATAATGATACAATATATATTATTATAAATTATAACTCTCGAGAACAAATACAGTGTATATAATACGGCGTAATAATTTAATATCGATGTAAAAATTTCTTCTAATATAGATTTTAATATAGATTTTATCTTTTAATATAGATTTTTAACTTATATGATTCTAGGTATTGGGGAGAGTGGTCTAAATCGGACTTATTTGCAGTTTTTGTTCTCTATAAGGCGTAAATAAAGTCCGATCATAAAACCAATGGTGCCATTCGAAAGATTATTTAATTTCCTTCATTTTTGCTTCAGACCATTTTTACGTATCTCTTATCTGTGTCAAACTATAATAGAAAATATAAAAATGCATTTTCCAGTTCGATTTGGAACTGAAACTATAAGTTCCAAATCGGATCTCTCTTATTTTTATGGACTTTTAGATAGAATTTTAAAATATTTTAATTAATTTTTATTAGTTCTGAGTAAAAACGAGCAATTTAAGACTCAAAGATATATAAAAATATAGTTTATATTATTAGAATTAAAATCAATAAAAAATTCCTTCAAGTCTGAGTCTGTTGACACGTGATATTTTATATTGATTTAGTATTTTTTAAACCAGATCTGATCGGTCGATCACCAGTACTACAACCAAGTTGTGGCGAACCTTCTTTCTTCAATGAATTAGCTGGTTTACTCATCTTTTCAGTGTTTTTATAGGTCGGATTTGGAACCAAATAGAGGTTCGATTTGGACACGGGTTGTTTCGAACTATTGGAATAAATTTTGCAAAAAACCGCAAAAGTAATAACAAAATTCTGATATTTTTGAATTTTACACTCTTTAATTATCTTAAATCAATTATCGTTCAAATTTTTAACATCTTTTAAATAAGGATTTACAAGGATTTTTTTTAAATTTTCACATGATAGTCGAAATATATATTTGAGTCTATTCTATGAAGGTCATGACAGAGTACTGCCAAACTGCTGTCACTTGTTGGGTGTTTTATAAGGACTTTACATTATAAATAGCACGCACACAATAGTACATACATTGTGTAACATGTGTGTTAAAGTTGTTTATTGTGTGACGCGGGCGCGAGAGCGCACGAGCGAAGCGAGTGCGCTCTCTCGCGCCCGCGTCGCGTTATAGACAATTATAGTACATGAGTTTTTTGTACATAGATTTTTTCATCACGAGTGCACTGTGTTAGTAATATGTTATACAATTATAAAGTCGCACGAGCAAAGCGAGTGCGACTTATGGAATGGTGCGTGGGGCGCAGAAAGCAGGGGGGGTTCGGGGGGGGGGGAGGGGGGCTGCGCTACGAGCGCTACCACTGCGTTATTTTTCATAATGTAACGCTTTTGCGTGGGGTTAGAGAAATAACTCAACGGCTTGAGGTATTGGCTATTTACCGCACTTAAAAGCGTTGCGGTATAGGGCACATTACGTGCACGCGTGAGGAAAATCTACTTAACTGAATTTATTTAAATTAAAAAAGTCCGATTTGGAACATTCTCCCCTACATAGGTAAGTAATTTATAATAAAATAACAAATATTTAAGACAATATAAATATAAAGAGGGCAAAGAGCCAAGTAAATTAACGAACTATTTAATTTAAACAATCATACAAACATATAAAAGCAAACGTTTCGACTTCGATCGGGTCATTTTCAATGTTACATAAATTATGAAGTATTATCAATTAAAATAACAACATATTGCATACATTCTTCATTAAGTATAAATATTCTTAATTCAATGTAAGATTCAGTCAATGTTGGTGTCGTAAGTATAATTAATCCTTGTCAAAAATAAAAGAAAAAGAAATAACAAGTCTATGAATAAAAATTAATTTTAGAAGAGTCATAACAATAAAACAGTATTATAATTAAAAATTAAGTAAGGTAATTTGCAGCGAACCAAAATGAGCACTGATCTTTGTGATGACAAATAAGATAATATTTAAGATACTATAAGATACTATTATATAAGATACTAGTTACTACTAAGAATTTATAAGATACTATTAGATATTAAAGATACTACAATTGCTTTGTACTTAGGGATGCAACGGATGTCCGCTTTTTTACAATCCGGCCATTTGGCTATTCGAATTGTGAAAAAGTTTAATACGCTGTAAGTGCGCCATAAGTACTATTTCTTATACATATATAGGGTATCTGATAATTAATTATATTCTTGCATAGACAGAATAGATTAAACTGAGAAGAAAAGTCCTCTAATATTTTGCATTTTTTGTATTAGTTAACGAGTTATTAATTGATGAAAATAATCAAATTTGCCCAACAAATGCAAACGCGCGCCGAGATGAAATCTCCCAGAGAGTCGCACATTCTTGGTCGCTAGGCATGTTGTTTACAAGCGGCATTGATATGAACGTGTCTAGCATCCAAGAAAGCGACTCTCCGGGCGATCTTAATCTCGCCGCGCGTTTGCATTTGATGGGCGAATTTAATTATTTTCATCAATTAATAACTCGTTAACTAATACAAAAAATGTAAGACGTTAGAGGATTTTTCTTCTAACAGCGTGATAGCAGCAAAGTTAGCGGCGTAGTGCGGAGCGCTCACGCACACTACTAGGCGCGCGGCTCACGGACGTGCCGTTTAAAAGACGGCGTCAATTGGATTATCTTTACTCGATAATAACTACTTCAGTAAGTATGATAGAAAAAAATTTCCTAATAGTAATCGACTCAATTTTTTTATCAGAAATAACGCTACATGATTAGTGAACGGTATTTAAGAAATACCCTGTACATTTTACACACACACATACATACGCACGCGCACATATGTATATAGTATCTGGTAAAATTAATAACACATAAATTGTACCATGCAAATG